CAAAATGATAAAATAACAAAGTTCATACTGTGGAAAATTGTATGCATACTGACAGAAATACATTTGTCTCAAATTGTACCTTATCTGTGCCACAATTAGTGTACGTGCTAAGCCAAAGTTACCCCACCTGCAATGCTAAAAATGAAGCCTGGTCATTAAGGCCAATATGAATGTCAGCATAAGCAGTGATCGTACTTTTCTGATCTACCGCAGTCAGCAGGGCTAGAACTCATACTTCTTGGTTTTCATAAAGTGGAAGATAAAATTCAGTTGCAGTTTCTGAAATTGAGCATGTCTGATGCAACTTTTGTTGAGTGTTTATTATGCTGTTAAATTTACCAGGTGCTTTAGGAATTAAGCTTAAAACTACTTTATCAAGCTTTCTCTTCTGCACCACTTCCTATTTAGGGATTGATCCAAAACCATCCAGACTGCCATTCAGTTCAGTTCAGCACCCATGGATCAAGTTCTCATGTCTTTATTATACTTTTGCAATATTGTAGTTAAAAACTGACATCATTTGAACTGTTCCTAATTTAAGTGTGAGCAAAATAAACCCTTCTGGGGTTTTTGGGGTTTTTTTACATCAATTTCTTCCTTTCTGGTTTAAAGACTTCTGAATCTCCTCCTTAGTTTCAGGCTATCATTGGAAACCGTGTCCCAAAACCAAAGTTTTAGGTTAGATTACACCATCAGGTTGGCATCTGTTACTCCTTAAAGGAATATTTCAGGATAGAAGAATATCTGAAAGAAAATAAATTACTTAAATGCTAAAGTTTTTGTCACAGTAAGATGAAGAATCTCTTGGCAGTAACTCAAGTTAACTGAGGTAAGTAGCAATGTACTTAAAAATTCTGTTAGAAGTAGGATAAAGTGTATTTTCAGTAAGGAGGTTGTCTTTTTCTTTTTTTTTTTTTTTTTTTTTTTTTTTTTTTTTTTTTTTTTTTTTTTTTTTTTTTTTTTTTTTTTTTTTTTTTTTTTTTTTTTTTTTTTTTTTTTTTTTTTTTTTTTTTTTTTTTTTTTTTTTTTTTTTTTTTTTTTTTTTTTTTTTTTTTTTTTTTTTTTTTTTTTTTTTTTTTTTTTTTTTTTTTTTTTTTTTTTTTTTTTTTTTTTTTTTTTTTTTTTTTTTTTTTTTTTTTTTTTTTTTTTTTTTTTTTTTTTTTTTTTTTTTTTTTTTTTTTTTTTTTTTTTTTTTTTTTTTTTTTTTTTTTTTTTTTTTTTTTTTTTTTTTTTTTTTTTTTTTTTTTTTTTTTTTTTTTTTTTTTTTTTTTTTTTTTTTTTTTTTTTTTTTTTTTTTTTTTTTTTTTTTTTTTTTTTTTTTTTTTTTTTTTTTTTTTTTTTTTTTTTTTTTTTTTTTTTTTTTTTTTTTTTTTTTTTTTTTTTTTTTTTTTTTTTTTTTTTTTTCCCCCTCACCTTCCTTACTGACAGAATGTACACAGCAACTTGTTCAAACTAAGGAAAAAAAATCTTTCTTTGTCTGATCCTATTTACACTTTGTGATGGGATGCCTCTAGGGCACAAGTGTGCAAGATCCCTGGAACTTAAACTAGCATTTTCTGCTTCCTGCAATACTTAAATAAGGCATTTAATTGTTATTTCACTGCTGTGCATCCATGTCATGTTTCATTCATTTTTGTCTGAATAAATCCTCTTAGATTAAGGACTTTGGAGCTTAAATATTTTGATACTGACGTAATGATCCTTATGCTTTTGCTGGATCAGCAAGCAGGACCTAAGTTTGTCAAGCTTGATGTGAAGGTCAAGTCCATCATACAGTGCTGTGGCTCCTCTTTTTTCCAACTCCATTGCACAACATTTGGAGGGGCTCTGGGATGCTGACTGGGAGGTATGAAGTAGTAGCCAGCAATCTATTTTTACATTTTAAAAGGGGTTTTGCATTTTAAAAGGGTTCTTCCCACAAACAAATCTCTCTTCCAGATGTTGTCTTTTTCTTGCTAATTACCTGAGTTTATTCATGCAGACATGAAATAAATTTATCAAAGAATTGGCAGTTATCAAAACTGAGTATTTTATTTATATTAAAAAATATACACTGTGGTTTTGAAATGATTGTTTGGAGTTTTCAAAAGTTTTAAAATGTGTTAGAAACCCATTGACTTAGGGACTCTTGAAAATCCTTCCTGTTGTATTACTTGCTTTTAATGTGGAGTAATACGTTGTAAGACCTCATGGAGAAAACCAAGCATGTCTTTAAGTCATTTTAATGAAAGGTGCAGAAATATGATGCATACAAGTGCATAACAGTTTTGGTTGATTTACTCTGAAGTTAGTTCAGGTGGATCTGATTATCTTTTGTCTGGCTTATGAAAAGGGTTTCCTAGGAGGCAGAGAGAATGAAGTTGAGGATTAGAAAAACTCTGACAGGCAAAGACCCGAGAAAACAATAATCTCAAGAGAAGGCTTAAACTGAAATTTAAATTATTTGTGTTAACAGTGAGTGACAACCATATGAGTGTGATAAAAATACACAAACACACAATTGCAGGGGAATTCAACCTATTTGTATGAGAATTATATTTGAGCTGCACTAGATTAAACTAAAATCTTAGTCAAAAGACATGTATGACTAAGGATCACATCTTTAAATTTAGCATATGTATATCGAAGTTTGGATCACAGGTTTAAATGTTTATGGCCAGCTTGAGACTGTCATTTTCTTAAGTTTTCAAGAACACTCTTCTCAGTTCTTTTGCTTGTCATAGATGGGCAATTATACTTATCATCAGGTAAATGGGATTCATTTTAAAGCACCCCTTTAGGTAAGTGTCACCTGAAAGGTTGTTTTCTATAAAATAGCAGGTGTTTTTGTAGTTCAAAAGGCTAGAGGCTAAATGTTAGTAAAACAAGGCAGTATGTTGTTTCCACACAGCCAAAAAGTTTGATTGGATACATGCATTTATGCAAAAACTAGTGTTTTGTCTTCACAAGGGGTTGGTCTTTAATTAAGAATGGGGTTTTTTATTAGTAGAAGAGGCTGAGGTAATAGGGGGAAAGATGGAGCTGAGCCATTATGATTTGTAGTTTTATACTGTACTGTTGTGGTTTAACCTCAGTCAGCAACTGAGTACC